GGGGGGGGGAAGGCAAATATCGTCATGTAACGTGCGTCAGGTGAATTCAAATATTTCTATCTTTTCTTTTTCATTTAGAGATAAAATGCCCACAATTATCAATTACATAAGAATCTTCTTCGAATGCGAGAAATGAAATCGAGATTCCCCACTAGTGTATCTGTTCGGATGCTCTCAAAATATCCCTTGCCGAAAAGATTCTTTAAACCTATTCAATTTGTCCTACCCAAACGCAAAAATGCAGCACCTAGTGTATGTTAAATGGCATTCGAGTTCAGAATTTTCACAAAACAAAGGTATATAAATATTATAAACAAAATGTAACACAACTTTAGTCGTGTAATGTGGATGCATTATTCCTTCTACCCACAAAACTCCGCAGAGCGTTTCGTGAAATCTTTATTTCCGTAGTTTGACACTCTTACGGGCGGCCAAATTTTCCATCATGGAGTGAAAGAAGCTAGCATTTTTGACAAAATTAGATTAAAATCTTCTAAATAACACATGTGTCATGTTTTAGGTCACGATACGGTCCATTTGACAACATTTGTGTCCAATACCCACACTCAGAAGGCGACTTTGTGCTACATGATATGACTGAATCAGTTTCAATTATTTTCTTTCCCACGCAGTATACAATTGTGCCAAATAGCCTTCCGGGTTAGCTCTGATGAAGCAAAGCAAACAAAGGTATATTTTGATATTTGCTGTAGTATGCGCTGACCAGCGCTATTTCCCGACCTCACTCAGTTCGCGCTGGTCACGCAGATCAGGTCAATAATTTATCCATCCTACAAAGACTTACCCCTGTCCACACTCTGGGCTGGCGGGTGGCCGTTGATCACCGATGCGCTGGCGTGGGAAATGGTGGCGGACAACAGACGGTTCTTAGCTTCCTCCTTCTTCTTGAAGTAGGCTCTGGGCATTTTCACCTTGCCTCTATTACGGAACCAGGTCTTGATCCAGGCAGACCTGAAGCACGGTAAGTACAGTTTAGTTTTAGTAACAGTTTTACGGCGCCTACAACACAATAAGGTCTTAGAATAGATGTGTTACAAGAGAGTAACGTACACAAAAAAGGAGGAGAGAAAAGGACGATATACGTTTGATAGGAAAGAAGGGGGAAACCACACCAGAGCACCCGCCAACCACTCATATGGTAAAACACAGACAAAGATTTAGCGTACATATTATGTTCCGTCACTCTTCTTTTCCGGACGTTGTTTTTTCTTTTTAAATAAATGTCCCCGCAAATGCTGTAGGCTATAATAAATTACATTTTCATTGATCCCGGAAGGGCAATTTGGTTTACAATGGCAAACATACACACATACATAAATACATAATTATAAATACATACAAACATAAATACCTACACATAAACATATTATATAATTACGAAATGTTACACCAATATAGAACAATTTCACAACCATGCTATTGCGAGTCGCCACTGTGCACCGCCCTGTCTTGCTCAATTACACACCCCAGTGACCACCCATCTCATCCCCTTGTCAACGACACTTGCTTGACTTTACTCTTGAGTCTGAACTCACAACTCACATAACCACAGGAGCCAAGTATTTTACCGTGCGCTTGATGTTTTTACTTTTAAAAATTAGAGTGAAAACATATGTTCATGCTTACTTGATGTTTCTTTGGGAGTCATACATCTTACATACAATAATAAGAAGCAAAGATTGTTTGTTTTAATTAGAGTTTTACGGCAATTAGATCGTATAAGTGCCGAAGATTAGTAGTGTTACAAGAGGGTAACAAACACAAGAAAAAAGAAAGAGAAGAGATATGGACGATATATGTTTGATAGGAAAGAATAAGGAAACCAAACCAAAACTCGATTTTTAAAAATAAAATCTATAACTTCTCTAGATCTACTCCAAAATCGGACTTGTGTCTTCTGCATGTGATGACAAGGCGCTAAACGGCTTCGCTACAGACGCCGATAGACTATTCGCTACCTTAGAATTACATAGTAATCTCTGCTCAGTATCTCATCATCAATGTCTTTCACCCCTGGCAGGGTATAGGCCACATACAAGCTCCTTCCATTTATCTCTGTCCTGAGCCACCCTTCCAAGCTCGTTCCAAGTGAGCTTCATTTCTCTCATGTCCCTTTCCACGCATCTCCTCCATGTTTCCCGTGGCCTACCCCTGCCTCGTGCTCCCTGGGGGTTCCACTGCAGTGACTGTCTTGTGATGTTTCCGTTGGGCTTTCTTAAGGTGTGCCCCATCCATCGCCACTTTCTTAGTCCTATTTCTACTTCTATATCCTTTTGTCCTGTCCTTTCCCACAGCTCTTCATTTCTTATTCTATCCTGCCACTTAATTCTTAAAATACTCCTCATACATCTGTTGATGAAAGTCTGGACCTTATTCAGTACTGTCTTCGTTGTCTTCCAAGTTTCGCAGCCGTAGAGGAGCACAGACCTGACGTTGGAGTTTAACTCCAACGCTCAGTATCTAGTTTTGAGAAATTTGACGTGTAGAGTTTCACAAAATGTCAAACTTTTTCGAACCCAATACTTTTAATATGATCTGGATGACGACTCCGAATAATCTTACGATTCTGATAGAACAGACAGAGCGAATTCTGCCCCTACCCCCTCCCCCCTCCCCATGGTCTCAGAAACTCAAAACGGCAAAAAATGTCAGATAAAACTTTGTAATTATTTTCTAAAGTAGCGTATTGTTCTTACCATGAAAATGACAAGCCAATGAAGAACACCACGATGAATAGAAGCAGAAAACTGATGGATGCAGCAACGGCCAGTCCAACTATGTCCTTGGTGGCACCCTCCACACCTAAAACAGAGGACAGGGGGAAAAAAGAAATATCAGGTCAGTAGAAAGATAAATACAGGAACGAAATCCGTTCTAGGTTAAACATTTCTTGAGCGTTCATATATGACCTTATGTAGTTTCGAGTTCGATCGCCGTAAAATGCTTACCAAACTAACTAAAAATATTTCTGAAAAAATGAAAATAATTCTGTTGACGACATGGCATTCACTGTGACGAAATTGGTAGACTAATGTGACCAACACTTCGGAGTTCGATTATCAAATCGAAGAGAACGGGGTTTGGGGGGGGGGGGGGGGGGGGGGTTGGGCAGAGTCTTCTCAAAGGCATATTATTATAAGTCTCGCTGGGCAAGAAATTTTGCCATTTTAGCTGTTGTATCAAACCGGTAGTGAAAGATATTGGCATTGTATCTCTACTGAAGAAATAACGAGGGTGAGTCTTTGTCATGTGTGTATGAGTGCGTGTGTGTGCGTGTGTGTGTGTGTGTGTGTGTGTGTGTGTGTGTGTGTGTGTGTGT